AGATAACAGCCAATTATAGCTGATGGGGTGCAGGTTATAGCTGCAAAAGGAATCCTCTAGTGAGATGGCAGCAGAAGGAAGTGGTGTGGGGTGATCTGTGTTGGAGATATATTCAAAAGGAGTATTTGCAGCAGTAGGGTAAAATGAAAGCTGAGAATCACAGTTAAATGATCTTAATTATGTTAAAGGAGCAGTTATCCTTGTGTCTATTAATGTGTTAATTGCAGGAAATCTTTTCTGTATATTTTATTTACAAGCCAAGTTCAAACCATTTTTACTTGTTATCTTTTAAATCTAATCAGTCACTCTGAGTTTTACATGCAGGCTAAATGTGGAAATAGTCTTCTTTCTCTATTTCCTGCATTAGTCGCCAATAGAAATGCTCGGATTAGAAAAGCCACACAGATCTACGTCACACTCATTTAAATTCATGGATTCACCCATCTTGGCTCCCGATGTTGTTGGTTTAGTGTCCAGGAGAGAGCAGAGGATGTCTTGACTGGTCGAAGCTAACTGTTAGCATTAGCAACTCCACCACACGGCAGAACTCCTTCAGGCTTGTGTTATTTGTGGAGATAAAACATCAGCGTTGCAAAACATGGAGTCAGTAATAGAGTCGTGTTGCTGTTAGCCTGTCAGAGGCGGGATGTCCACATATCAGGAAACAAGACTCCAAAATTTGCTGTTTTCTGCTCATCTCTGCTCTGGCTCACGCTAGAGCTTTTTTCCCAGAGATCAACTTACAAGGCATTAATTTAAGCTAGAGACCACTGAAAACGTGTTGAGAAAGTGTGCGAACTTGGTCTGCAGTGCTTTTGAATTATATTGCACCTCATTGACTCAAATGTTTAACCTCACCGTCGAGAAGAAAGTTTTCTCAGTCGGTTAAAAAACTGAGGTTTGCATCGTTAAATCTTAAGATGGTGTGTGACCGGGTTTATTCTTGACATCTTAATTTTTTAAAATCTGTTCTGTAAAACAAGTGTTTCCATTTCTGTCTTCATTTAGATTCATTGTGATTTGATGCTTTAAACTTTAAAGTTTAAAGGAGTTGGTGGGAAGTGACTGTGTGAGACGTCAACGTGATTGATGCTTAAACGTTTTTATTGGTGCTGTAGAAGCTTTTGCCACCAGAGCAGATTTATCACTCTTACTGTGCATGATCTAAGAGATAAACTGTCTTTTAGCTTTGCTTTTACATCAGCCCAAACTATCCTAATGGAGTCTAATTCAAGTCAGACTGAAAACAGAACAACTTTAAGACTAAATGCATCTTGCTGCTCCGAAGGAAGTCGTTTTACAATCCGTTCTACGTGGTATTTTAGGCAGTTGTTGACTTATACTGGTTTGTTTTATGACCAGTCATCATAAATCTGGTTAGCTAAGGCTTCACAGAAAAGATTTGTCACATTTCTGGCCACGTGTATTTTCCACTGAACAAAAATAAATGAAGCTTTTAAAAAGCAGGGGTCTCATTTATCAAACATTGCGTAGAATCCTTACTAAAACCGTACTTGAGCTCAGCTAAAAAAAATGTACTTCGCCAGGCAGGTTTGTGATCTATCAAACATGGAGTACGCACAGCTGCACGCAATCTCCGCTTCATAATTCGGAGACTAACGAGAATGTTTCTCAGCTGCTTTTTAGTCACATCCCGCCCTCACCACGCCCACTTTCTGCTATAAATGGTCAATGCAAAGTGCCTTGTGGACCTCATGCATATACATAAGCCGGCTTGTTGCAGCACTTCGATCACAACAGCATATCAAGGAAGCGTAATTTCACAGAAGCAGAAATGCAGGTACCTGTGGGGGAGGTGGAGAAATGAAAGGAAGTGCTTTTGAAAAACAAATAAGAGAAAATCCACGGAGTGGCACAGCGTTGCTGAAGCCGTCAATGTTGTGAATTCTTCAGAGAGATCTGTGGCGGATATAAAAAAAATGGCCCAATCGGGATTCGATCCCCAGACTCCCAGGTGAAAGTCACACACGCTGACCAGTAAGCAAACTAAGATCTCCCTTGTCCAAGTAGCCAGGGCGCATGATCAATCGGGTCACGTGACAGGACGCTCACACTGTCACAGACACATGACATTCTGTCTCAGTCTGTCCCCCTGCTGATATTCTGCATTTCGCATTCTGCTCATCTGACTCCCATTAAGTAAATCCGTGTCGATGTTTGAAGACGAAGAATTTAATTAAAACTTTATCCGACAGCGGCGTCCTGAGAAAGTGTTGGAGTCACAAATCACTGATTGGATCTGGAACCAGCCCTGTTCTGACACCCCGTCTTGTTCCTGTTTCTATTCAGCCAATCAAATATAGTTTCACTGCTGGGCTTATGACCCACACTAGTTGCTATAGCAGCAACAGCCTGCCTCCTGGAGAACATGTCGTGCGTGTTAAGTGACTCTCAGATGCTCACTTGTTGTCTCTGCCTTGTGCTTGCTCTGGAACACACACACACACACACTCACACACACACACACACACACACACACACACACACACACACACACACACAATAAAGTGACTCTGCACATTACGGGTTAGCATTGAGAGCTTAAGTGGCTCTAAAGCAGGTGTCATGATTGTGGTGCAGCTCTATATCCTCGTGTGATTGACCCAAGACAAAAATGTCCTTGTGCTTTGATTAGACAGTGGTCAAGTTGCCTAGAGCATGAACAATAAACTGTGCATGTTAAAACATTTTCTGTTCCAGTGTTTGTAATCCAGAGTAAAGTTTCCCAACTGTTCCATCTCTAGAAATGTCATGAAATGTCATGCATTCAGCTAAAATAAAATAAAATCTACTAGAAGGCTGGCTAGGGTTTGGAACATTCTTGCAAAGTATTTTGTGAAAAACAACATTTTTTAAAATGTTTTCTTTATTTTCAAGTGTCAAATTTAAAATGTTGGGAAGTCCGACTCATGCTAAATATACTGGAGACCAGAAAATATCTGGTGAATGGAGTCGGCCAATATTCAGCATAACCGGTCTAATCTAATTCGACATTTTTCAGTTTGTGACCGTATGAGAGGCGGACATCTTTTTCTTCTAGATTGATCATTTTCAAGTGAATCCTATTTTTTATGTGTTCTGTTTATGGTTGTTTACAAGGAAACAGAATCGGTATCAGCCCTTAAAACCAGAATCGTGTGTTTCTATTTCACCACAAGAATCTGTTTTTTAATATTATCAGACAAAGAGGTGTCCAACATAAATTTTAGAGACACTTTTGTTTTGCTTTGTTTATTTTTATTGCAGCTTCAGCACTTCTCCTTTTCATTATTAAAAATCCTGTGAACGATCCTCTGTGTAAAGAATCACAAATGTTCTCTATTATTAATACCCTGTTGAAACGTGTGTGTGTGTGTGTGTGTGTGTGTGTGTGTGTGTGTGTGTGTGTGTGTGTGTGTGTGTGTGTGTGTGTGTGTGTGTGTGTGTGTGTGTGTGAGAGAGAGAGGAAACCAGACATTTAGGTGTATTTACCATTATTCAGTTGGAGTTGGTTTATAAAAAACTCAGATTATTTGATGCAAACCCTTTTAGAGGAACTTTAATCTGATGACGAAAGAGAAGTGGGGGCAGGTTGGGTTAAGAACCATAAAATGTGGAATTAGATCTCGATGAGGAACCACCTGCAGCTTTTTATTGTTTCAGTCATATTGTAAGAAACATGAGGCGTTACTCAGAGTTATGTTAGAAAGCTACAATAACAGTTAGAGGTTTGCTTTGATCACAGCAGAATCAGGCATTTAAGAAAATCAGAAGTTTACAATTTGAGCCAGAATTATTTGTCGAATTGAGTCATTAAAAGTTCAGAAAAGACAAACTTCTGATTTATTCATTCAGATCTTAAGTTTTATAGTCGATTGTAGTCTTTAAAATCCCTTTGATTTACCTGGTGTGCGCGCGTGTGCTTACAGTGCGTGCCTGTGTGTCTGATGAAACCCAGGACATCTCCCGCCTGCTGCTGCTCAGCACTACAAACACTGTGTGGAAGACTATTTAAATACACACTCTCTTAGCCTGCCCCCTACTGTTGCCCAGTCTTCCTTTCAAACACACATGCATGCACTTTCACACACTCTGGGGAGAATACACGCCTAAATCACCTCGTGGGGAAACAGAATTACTGTGGAGCCTAAATGTTTCTTAACTGAGTCTTAGCTGATTTTTTTCCAGCCTCGTTTTCCTATTAAAGTCCAATTAAGCCGTTTGGAGATGGGCCTGGGTCAGAGGACTTTGTGGAGCATACTGCCTCTCCTGGTGTACTGTGGAACTGCTCATCTATGATCCAATTAGTTTGTCACACTTTTTGAAAAAGTGTGTTTTAATTCACTTTTTTGTCAGTTAAGTGAGTAAAAACCTGAATTTTCCACCCACTGTGGCTATGAGTAAGTCTTTTTCCCACCTCTTTAAAAAAATAATTAGTTTTTTCAAAACTTTTGCCAAAAATTAAATGACATCAGTTCTTCTACATTGTTGTTAAAAATACCAATCTAGTTGTTTTTGACCACTAAAGACAGATTTAAGAGATTTTTTCATCTAATCACTTTTAAAACATTTTTATAGCTAAGAAGTTTTAAAAATAAACATTTTGGTTTTATCTTATTTCAGTAAATTAAGTCAGAATCATTTTAACCAGGATATATTTTCTAAATTCAAGTAATTTGTGAGAATTTTCCACAGCTTGTTAACAGACTGACCCCACATCTCCCCACCTGACTCCTGCAGTTCTCACATTGACCAGTTGGTGTCCTCCTTGTCTCGTTTCCTCACCTGGAAGGAATATTGATTTGTGTCTGTTTGGATTCAGCGACAATTACAGCAGAAAGGCTTCAAACAGTGCACCTTTGCTCTTGGATCAATGCAGAAAATCATTCAAATCACTTATTCGTTGACTTTTCTGACATATTTTGTGTAAAAACTCAGTAGTGTGCACACCTGTTATGTGTTATAACATCCTTATTCTTTTTTCTGTTGTTCTCCTGTAGCTGAAGAGAGTTAAGCACCAGCAAGTCAAGCAGTCTCCTCCCTACCCTTCCAGACCTCCCCCTCCTCAGCCCTGCCGTGCTGCACCTTCTTCTTCATCACACCTCTACAGCTTTCTCCTGAAGACTATCAGAGCTACACAGGTCAACGACTCCCACGCCGGCCACCATGATCACCTCGGAGCTTCCAGTCCTCCAGTAAGCTACACACAGTACACTCAGCGTTTCATAAACGGCCACAGATCATGTGACAAGTACCTTAGTAACAAACTAATGAGTAGGAGTTGGGTTTATTTCCGGGTTTAAGTGCGATTCCTCTGAATACCTCACTGTTAACGCTTCCAGGGACTCCTCCAATGAGTCTGGAGCAACAGAAGCTGTGGGTCTGAGCATGAGCATGGGTGAGATGGAAGACCCCGAGATGAAAGGGAAGAAGAAAAGAGGGAGGCCCGGAAAACAGGCGCAGGTAGGAGCTTCTTACGCGTCTTTAGTTCTGTTCATTTAGATTCTCTAAAGCATTTTTACGTCAAAATCCAGCAAGCGACTGTCTTTTATGTTTTTAACAATTATTTCTTTTCTTTGCCAAAGACGTTCAATAAGAAGCCTCGGAAGACGCCGGCAGAGAAGCCCATGGGGATGGTCAGAGGCCGGGGGAAGGCAAACGGCGTGGCTCAGCACAACGGGAATGCAGGAGACCCCGTCACGCTCTTTGAAGTCGTCAAACTTGGTAAAAGTGCAATGCAGGTAAGGGCAAAATGCTTTAAATAATTATCTTGGCTGTTTCATTTAGCAGCATCTCTAACGAACCCAAAGAGTGTTTGTTCTTGTGTGAAATGCCTCATTTGAAGTCTGTTTTGATGGTTTGGATTGTTCGTGTTTGCAGTCTGTAGTGGACGAGTGGATCGAGTCCTACAAACAAGACCGGGACCTGGCACTCCTGGACCTGATCAACTTTTTCATCCAGTGCTCGGGTTGCAAAGGTGAAGCTGCTTTTATGTTTCACACACATAAACGTCCAACAAGCGAGTCCGTATTTACGTTGAAACCAACTAAGGCCGTGTTTTTGTTCCCAGGCACTGTGAGGATAGAGATGTTCAGGAACATGCAGAACGCAGAGATCATCCGTAAGATGACGGAGGAGTTTGATGAGGTAACCGTGTGTTTCGGTGAACCGAGGACGGTCACAACGTGGAACTGGACATTATCATCAGGTGTGACGCAGCTTCAGCTGAAAGAACGCCCCTTCTCTCACTGTGTCTGCAGGACAGTGGCGACTATCCTCTGACCATGCCAGGCCCCATGTGGAAAAAGTTCCGCTACAACTTCTGCGAGTTCATCTGCGTTCTGATCCGCCAGTGTCAGTACAGCATCATCTATGACGAGTACATGATGGACACGGTGATCTCCCTCCTCACTGGGCTGTCAGACTCACAGGTCCGAGCCTTCAGGCACACGTCCACGCTCGCAGGTATCCTTAAGAGCAGCTGGTGATGATTATCGGACAGTTAATAATAGCTATTAATCACATTCACACATACGCTTATGTCTCTGTGTAGCGATGAAGCTGATGACGGCGCTGGTGAACGTGGCTCTGAACCTCAGCATTCACCAGGACAACACCCAGAGACAGTACGAGGCCGAGAGGAACAAGATCGTTGTCAAGCGGGCCAACGAGAAGCTGGAGCTGCTGCTGCAGAAGAGGAAGGAGGTTGGATCGTGGTCTTTTTTCACCCCTAAATATCCCCCTAAAGTCTAAAAGAAAATACATCTGAGAGGAAATCTTAATTGTATAACAAACAGCAGAGATTAGAATCCTTTAATTTATAGATAATAAAACACAAAATGTGCGTCTCCAATGCAGCTCCAGGAGAACCAAGATGAAATCGAGAACATGATGAACTCCATCTTCAAGGGCATCTTTGTGCATCGCTACAGGTAAACATTCAGTTTATCGTCTTATCCATCATCTACAAAACGTATTGTCTGAAAGAAAGCAGGTTACCATGGCAACGTTTTTACTTCGTAGGGATGCCATCGCTGAGATCCGAGCCATTTGCATCGAGGAGATCGGTGTGTGGATGAAGATGTACAGCGACGCGTTTCTCAACGACAGTTATCTAAAATATGTTGGCTGGACTCTCCACGACCGGGTGAGCCGTCCCTCCCGTCGGCGCGTTTTAAACTCGCTGAGGGGGCGCTGAGCTTCACCTACTTCTTGTTTTTCAGCAAGGAGAGGTGCGTTTGAAATGTTTGAAGGCTCTGCAGAACCTCTACACAAACCGAGAGCTGTTTCCAAAGCTGGAGCTTTTCACCAATCGCTTCAAGGTGAAATTGTGTTTTTTGTGTTCATTCTAGCTCCTCGCTGCTGTTTCCCACTTTAATGCTTTGATTTCGTGTTGGCAGGACCGAATAGTCTCGATGACGCTGGATAAGGAGTATGACGTGGCCGTGGAGGCCATCAGACTGGTTACACTCATCCTGCAGTGAGTAGCTTTGCTGCTTCCTATGGAAAACCGTATTTCCTGTCCCATAACTTCTGAAAACCACGGTAACACGGCTTGCTCTGATTGGTTGTTGCAGGGGCAGTGAGGACGCCTTGTCGAATGAAGACTGTGAGAATGTTTACCACCTGGTTTACTCTGCTCACCGACCGGTGGCTGTTGCTGCTGGAGAGTTCCTTCACAGGAAGTGAGTCTTATCTAATGTAGTTTCTGCATCTGTATCACTGGAATTAAATTATCGTCTCGCTCTTTTCACAGATTGTTCAGTCGCCACGACCCACAGGCAGAAGAAGCCCTGGCTAAACGCCGAGGGAGGAGCAGTCCCAACGGAAACCTCATCCGCATGCTGGTCCTCTTCTTCCTGGAGAGCGAGGTAACACGCCCTCATGATACTTTCGGTGTTTGACTCGGAGGCACACAAATACAAAACTCATATGTGGTTTCTTGGTGTTTTGGTGCATAGCTTCACGAGCACGCAGCGTATCTGGTTGACTCGCTGTGGGAAAGTTCACAGGAGCTGCTGAAGGACTGGGAGTGCATGACTGAACTACTGCTGGAGGAGCCAGTTCAGGGAGAAGAGAGTAAGGACAACACTTCAAACGAGCCGAAAGATGGCTTCCTCTCCTTTAATATCTCTCTCTCGCTCTCTCTCTCTGTGTGTGTGTGCAGTGCTTTCAGACAGACAGGAGAGCGCGCTGATAGAGCTGATGGTGTGCACCATCCGACAGGCAGCCGAGGCACATCCACCTGTTGGCAGAGGCACTGGCAAACGGGTGGGTTATTCACTCTAAAGTTACAGGGTTCAAGGTCGAAATGAGTCTCAGTTTTGGCCTATTTAGCTTTTTGTCTGTCTTTGCTTGTTATCGTAGTGTGAAAAGTTAAATCAGAAAGTTGTTTATCACCGCCTGTTAGTAAGTTTTGCTCCCGTTTGTCCAGGTTCTGACAGCAAAGGAGAGAAAAACCCAGATAGATGATAAGAATAAGCTGACTGAGCACTTCATCATGGCTCTGCCCATGTTGTTATCTAAGGTAAGGCTCTGCTTTAAAAGCTGCTTCCTGCAGAGGAAAGCCCAGAGCGCGGCGTGTGATTAATGTCTAGGATGGAAGATCGATGTGCTTGTCCACATAAATGATCCAAGTGTTTTAGTCTGGTTGTGGAGAGCGTTGCTGACCGTCTCTGAGAAGTGTGCAGAGTAGGTAATAGATGTGTGAGGATTTGTGTCCTTGTCTCGTTCCTAACAGTACCAGGCAGATGCCGAGAAGGTCGCCAATCTTCTGCAGATCCCGCAGTTCTTTGACCTGGACGTGTACAGCGCCGGGCGCATGGAGAAGCACCTGGATGCCTTACTGAAGCAGATCCGGCTGGTGGTGGAAAAGCACATTGAGACGGACGTGCTGGAGGCCTGCAGCAAAACCTATAGCATCCTCTGCTCGGAGGAGTACACCATCATGAACCGCGTGGACATCGCCCGCTCACAGCTCATCGATGAGATGGCCGACCGGTTCGCACACTCGGTTGAGGAGCTGCTGCAGGAGGTACGGCAGGAGAGATAAACTTTATGATCAGAACTAAGAAATCTATACTTGTCTCGGCTTTTCTTGAAATCATTTCCTCTCAGGAACTCCAAAAATCACGTATCTGCTGCAGAGCAGTTCACATTACTAACAGTGTTGCTGCTTTATTTAAACCTTTATGTGGGGTAGGGTTGTCACGGTATGAAAATTTAACCTCACGGTTATTGTGACCAAAATTATCACGGTTTTCGGTATTATCGCGGTATTTTTTAAACGGTGTTGCATATGTTCAGAAAGCATTGATAGTCCTGTTCTACACAAACTGAAATAGTTTTGAAAAGGTTTAACAGTGTTTATTAAACCTAAAATAACACAAAGCCTTAGCAAAAGTGCAACTTTTCACAAGTAAAGGAACAAACAGCTTATTTTTCTGGAACATGTTACAGTAGTCAGTGCAGGTTTAAATTATACAAATCCAAACATTCGAAACATAAACAATATGTAAACAAATCAAAGAAACACCACTTGTTTTCTCATATACTTGTTTTCTTCATTATCAAAATGAAAATCTAAAACTCCAGTCCACACTTGACTTGAGCACTGTACAAGTCAACCTTAAAAAATATGTATTTAAAATAAATAGCCACTTTAAACAAATTACTAAAATAACTACTACACTATGTAATCAAATCCAAATGTTCAAGTATAAATGGCATTGAACAAGTAAACAAATCAATGACAAGGAACTAATTGTATATTTCTCTTCATCATCAACAAATAAGAAGCTTCATCCAGCAACAGGGTGTCCGTGACACGGTTTAAATGCTGGCAGAGGACGCTGCGGCTGCAGTATATAGTAACTCGTTGCATTCTCCCTCAACCAAAAGTCCTCACGTCATGCATTTAAGCTAAAATGCTCATGTTGACTTACCTTGCACTGGCTGTGGAGACGTGGGTGATGGTCACGCAGATGTGCCATGAGATTCGAAGTGTTGCTGCCTTTTGCAGACACTTGTTTCCTGCACGTTCTGCAAACGGGATAGCCGTCTTCTATTAACTGTCCCTCAGCATTTTTCAGAAATCCAAAATATGCCCATACTTCCGATTTAGTCTTCTTTGAGGGCTGATGGATGTCCTGGGCGCTGCCGTCTCCTCCTTCGGCCATTATTTCAGCTTCAAAGTTTTGGTGCCGTTGCAAACTAAAAAGTGCGTGTGCGCGCAGCGGGAACTTCAGCTGAAGCGACGGTGGCTGGTAAGGGTCACCGCGCTGAAACCGCGGCCACGGTAAACCCACCGAGATAATTTAGTTTTTTAAAAACTGGACGGTTATTTTTATTGTCAACTTTTTTACCGGGGTTTACCGCTATACCGGTTACCGTGACAACCCTAATGTGGGGTCATGGTTGTTTTAACGGACTCTAAAACATGTTTATTTTAATTCAGGGTGAGGAAGCGGATGATGACGACATCTACAACGTTCTGTCTACCCTTAAGAGACTCACAGCCTTCCACAAGTACGACTTACCCCTTTAATCTCTGTGTAGAAATAAAAAATTGAACCAAAAATATCCAGACATTCACATCAAACTATTAAGGATAGCAGATTTTTAATCCCCAGTTCTGTTTTCAGCGCCCATGACTTAACGCGGTGGGATTTGTTTGGAAATTGCTACCGCCTCCTTAAGGCGGGCATCGAGCAGGGCTCCATGCCGGAGCAGATCGCCGTCCAGGCGCTCCAGTGCTCCCACTACTCCATCCTCTGGCAGCTGGTGAAGATCACTGAGGGCGTTCCCAGCAAGGTGCTCAACTTGCCTCCACTCAGATCTCAGGCTCATCTGAGGTCACGAGCTCAGTTTAAGATATTATTTCTGCTCATGGGTAGAACTTTATTCATTTTTATTGACGTAATTATGGTTCACTGCTGGTGTTACCATCACTGTGTTAATAATGTGTTAGGGATGAAAGTAAAAGTCAAAGGAAATGTGTTTCCTGTGCTGTTGGACAGAGAGTGCATCGACTGTTCTGCCTACTAACGTTAATTAAAACATCAGCATTTCATTCTGCTTCACATCGGAGGTGTTTTATTGATTTCTACCCGAGCGTTAAGTGTTTGTGACACGTCTACTAACGATGTTTGTGCTGCCTTGTTTTTTCAGGATGACCTCATCGCTCTCAGGAGAGTGGTCAAGTCTTTCTTGGCCGTGTGCCAGCAGTGCCTGTCCAATGTCAACACTCTAGTAAAAGAACAGGTCAGAACGAGAGTTTACCTTCTGGCTTATGGAACTAGGATTGGGACGATATCACATTTAACTTGCAACATGTTTTGTTACTGTGATTTTTGTTTTGCAGCATGTAATTTGTGTTTTGTAACATGTAACTTTGGTACGTAACATAAAACTTTTATTTAGTAACTTGCAGAAAAAAATCAGCGTACAAATTTCAAATCACAAAGTTTTGCCTTTTCTTGGGCATTTTTTTCTTCTAGTTTCTCCAGAAAAACTGTGGTTTTTTTGGACTCTTTACTTTTCTGCTTCTGGTGCTGTGAAGCTTGGAGGATTTGCTATTTTTTTTTAGCTTTTTTCACTTTTTTTTTAGCTTTTTTCACTTTTTGAGCATTTGTTATGATGCGTAACTATGGCAGCAAGCTGGTTTACAATCGGGAGCAGCTGATTAACATTGGAAAGACTGAAATAATACCTCAACTGAAGCCACAAATCCCAAATGAGCTAAAACGCAAGAAGCGTGGATGCAGAGCGGGAGCAAAACAGAGACAGAGAAAGAGGGAATTCAAACCATCGCCTCCATCGATCATAATGGGCAATGTGAGATCACTGGCCAACAAGATGGAGGAACTCCAAGCCCTTTCAAGGACTCAGCCAGAGTTTCAGCAGTTTTGGAACCACTGGAGGAGATAATGTAAAGAAGGATTCTCCAGAGAATCAAGAAAATGATGGACAACCCTGAGCATTCTCTTCACAAGACTGTCCGACAACGGAAGGGTGTCTTCAGTCAGAGGCTTCTTCAGTTTCGCTGCAACACTGACCGCTACTGGAGATCCTTCCTGCCAACAGCCATTGTAATATACAACAACTCTTTGACGACTTGATTATTATTATTATTCTGAGCTACTACAGCAATCAATTTCCCTCTGGGATTAATAAAGTATTTTAGAATTGAATTGAAACACAACTTTCAAAACACAAATCTCAGTCTACAGTTACAAAACTCAAGTCTACAAGTACAAAACACTTTGTCCCGATTCTAGCTTGCTTCAAACAGGAATTGTCTTGGACAGGAATCCAAGACCCACGATTGGCTGGTCAGACAAAACCTGTCATTGGTTGGAAAGGAAGCTAAAATTGGGACAAAATGTTTTGTACTTGTAGACATGAGTTTTGTAACTGTAGACTGAGATGTGTGTTTTGAGAGCGGTGATTTGAAATTTGTACATTGATTGTTTTCTGCAAGTTACAAAATGAAAGTTACAGTTACAAAACAGGTTACAAAGCTTGGTACAAGCTGCTTGTGATATTGTCCCAGTCCTATTTCCATTCTGGCTGGGCTGGCCTTTAGTTTCTGTTAAGTCAAGTCGGTCCCCCTCTCTCTCCTGCAGGCGTTCATGCTGCTCTGCGACCTGCTGATGATCTTCAGCCACCAGCTGACCTCTGGGGGGAGGGAGGGCCTCCAGCCGCTCGTCTTCAACCCTGACAGCACTCTGCAAAACGAGCTTCTGAACTTTGTCCTGGATCACGTCTTCATCGACCAGGATGATGAGAACCAGAGCATGGGTGAGGAGGATGCTTGACGCCCCAGCGATGGTTGTGACTGGAACTGAGAGGATGAGCCATACCAGCGATGCCATTTATGTTCCGACATTAGAAAAAAAACAGACTTGAATGGCACTTTTAAGTTATGCTGCAGTTGTGGTATCTGGTTGAAAATGAACCTACTGGTGTTTTATGTACCGCAGGCGGTAAATGACATTCTTCTGGGTCAAGTTGGTGTTAAACTGCAACGATTATAACTTTAGACAAAGAGCTTTACAGTCAACCAAAATGCTGTACAGAAGGCAGAGTAAAAACAAGAAACACACTCAGAAAATACAAAACACTAAAAGTATTAAAGATAATCACAGCAGACAAAGAAACCAAGCACTGTAGGTGAGCCAACAAAAGGCAAAACCCTACAATAAAACCAGAGATGTCACAGCATGTTAAAACCACTCAACCCTCTCATCAGGGACCGAACAGATCAAAAACGAGGGTCCAGTTCATGTCTTCCAATAAAATAGTGGGTCCACAACAAGTTTTACGTTCACAATCCAACATACCACTCCAAACTTTCAAAATATTCTTCAGATGTGTCTTTTTCCTGCAAGGTTTTCATCACGGCTTCTGTTAGCATGCTAATACGTCCTTTAGTACCTACCCACTGTAGCCAACAACGGTAGACATGGTGGTGATGTTGATCATTTCGGCTCAACTGCTGGCCTTTTGACTCTGAACCCAAAAAAGGCTGCAGGGCAGCGAAGCAGCTGGCGGAAAACGTTAAAAGAATCAGTGACTCCACCCCTAGCCAATCAGTGACTTGACAGTCGCTAACGTAACATTTTTTCGTACGCTTGGAAACATTAAGGCAGGTAGTGAAAAGTTAGTGGTAATGTGGTACCCGTTACTGATGGAAATTCTGTCCAACTGAGCGTGATTCGAGTCAAGCTGAGTAGACACGAATGGAATCACAGCTATAATAGTTTCAAACCTTCACAACACCGACCCTGATGCAGAATCTTTGGATCCACGTCTTACTTGATAGGCTTCAACTAAGGCTGGACGATATGGCCTCAAATCTATATTGCGATATAATCTGAAGCATGTGCTGTAACGATATATATTGCAATATATTTTTTCCTCTGTTTATATATGTCAAAATGACATTCTTTTAAATATCCTCGTGGCAAATATATGCCACTTGAGGCACATAGGCCTCCTCCTCCGCCCACTCCATGCTCGCAGTCACTGCCAGTTGCCCCAGTGTCAGCAGGGTGCACATCTTAGTGACATCATGCGTTATCGTGGTATTGCGATATAGCCAAAAACTATTATTACCCAATTTTATGTCATTTCTACCTTATATCCAGGGTCCGAAATAAAATTTTTGACTCAGCGGCCAAGTTGGCTGGTAATGATGAAAATCTACCGGCCAGGCATATTTTTACCGACCAAAATTCTAAATGATCTACCTAAAGCATGTTATTCTATATTATGTTGATTCCAAACAGAGAGGAGTGACAAAATAATTAAAACATCAATTAATAAGAAAAACAACTCTTTTGTCATTTTACTATTTATTTATTTTTTAGAGATGTTTTTATGAACTCTTTAATTGAAATCTAGTCAGACTCCTTGTTTTCTCTGACATAGCCATTAGCGCCGAGACCGTGGGTGTCACCAGTAGACACTCAGATTGAGCACATGGAAGTGCAGGCAATATGGCATTTGCTGTTTTCATGTTCTCGAATAGTCTCAAGCTTCATTGTCTTATTTCCTATGACACACGAGTTGTTACAGTTCTCTCGAACGTGCTGGCGGCAAACGGTGCAGCTCATTTGCACATATCAGATTCTGGTTCATAGCGTAGCCATTGTCTCACGACTCCACCATCTCCGGTTCGCCACTTTTCACAAAATCTTCTGGTTGCCACTGGTCCTGGTGGTTTTTCTTCCAGTTCGACGAGTTTTCTTTTGGAAGGCTGGCTGACTCCAGTTAAAAACCGCCACATTTCACCGCTAGTTTTAACACGAAGCTAACCGCTAACTTGATAAACTGATTGAATGGGATAGGCGGAAATTACGTTGGATGCGGCGCCCACGTTTCGCGTACGTTGCATGCAGGCGGGAGGAGTATCAGAAATCCATGGAAGATGACTGATAAACATAACTAATTTGGTGCAAACATTTACTCGCTATGTGGCAGATAGAGCTCAAAAATTTACTCGCCAAACGGAGCAATTTGCTCGCATTTGGCGAGTGGCGAGTGTTAATTTCGGACCCTGCTTATATCGTTTATATTGCCCACCCCTAGCTTCAACTATTAGTCAAGAGGTCAAAAGTGTCAACACCTACTCTCATGTGTGTAGCTTGAACCGACTGTGGTCCAAGTCATCATCAATTCAACAAAATCTCACATGAGAGGATGGTTTAGTGATAAAGTCAAACCTCTCATGGTCTGAAATCTGATTTAGGATTGTGATTGGCGGATGCCTGCATGTCGGGTACCTTTAAAGTTGAGTGACTGTCACACGTACACTGATGGCGATGCTCAAACGTAACGTGGTGTAGCTCTAGAATCACACCCGTAAAGTTTTAGCCCCGTTTTGGTGCATTTGCCATCAGACGAGTGGAGGATTTCTGCTTTTTCTTCATCCCTTCTCGTTCTTCCCGTTTGTTTCTAGAAGGAGACGAGGAGGACGAAGCCAACAAGATCGAAGCTCTTCACAAGAGGAGGAACCTGCTGGCAGCTTTCTGTAAACTCATCATCTATGACATCGTAGACATGCCTGCTGCTGCTGACATTTTCAAACACTACATGAAGGTTAATATGTTAATGAGGCTCATGACATTAAACTTCCCCTCTAAAGGGTTTGCTCTGAACTTAAAGCAGTGACCTCGTTCACGTTCATGCCTGTTTTCCCTCTGCCTCAGTACTACAACGATTACGGTGACATCATCAAAGAAACGCTCAGTAAAACCAGACAGACTGATAAGATTCTCTGTGCCAAGACTCTCATCCTCAGTCTGCAGCAGGTGAGCCGAGAGCAGCGACGTGCTCTTCTTTCGCTTACGCGGCCGTTTTCACGTAATGAATCCTGATGTGTTTGTTTTCACAGCTGTTCAACGAGCTGCTGCAGGACCAGGGTCCCAACTTGGACCGAACGTCGTCTCACGTGAGCGGCATCAAGGAGCTGGCTCGCCGCTTCGCCCTCACCTTTGGCCTGGATCAGATCAAAACCAGAGAAGCTGTCGCGACGCTTCACAAGTAGGATCTGAGGGATTTTATATCGATCTGTGCTTGGGTTTAAAAGTTTTTATCATTTTCGTCTCGTCTCATCCCAGGGATGGAATAGAGTTTGCCTTCAAGTATCAGAATCCTCGAGGACCAGAGTTCCCTCCCATCAACCTGGCCTTCCTGGAGGTTCTGAGCGAATTTTCCTCCAAACTAATTCGCCAAGACAAAAAGACGGTGTAAGTTCTCGTTTTCCAGGTCAGGGAAAAAAGAAGATAAAATCTTTTTTTCTGAATTTCTCTGCAATTTTCTCTTCAGTCACTCCTACCTGGAGAAGTTCATGTCGGAGTCGATGTCGGAGCGTCGGGAGGATGTGTGGCTGCCACTGATCTCGTACAGGAACAGCCTGCTGACGGGCGGAGACGAGGACCACATGTCCGTCACGTCGGGCTCCAGCAGCAAGACCGGCTCAGTCCGCAGCAAGAAGGGACGACCGCCGCTGCACAAGAAACGCATCGAGGGTGAGCGGCCTGGCTTGTACCCTCCTCATCACCGTCGCATTAGCTGACCTCCATGTTTTTATTTTCAGAAGAGAGCAGTGTGGAGAGCTCTTGGATGATGCGTAACGACACCCTCCAGACACCGGGGGCGCTGCAGACTCCCCAGCTCACTTCAACAGTCCTCAGAGAGAACAGGCCTGCAGAACACTTGCCAGATCCAGACTCCGAGCCGGGATCAGAGAACGACTACGTCCACAAGTATGATGATAAAAAATAACACCCCCCTTCTTCCTCATTACTAAACCGACTTGTGTCGTTAACTCGAGACTCGGGTGTCTCCAGTCCTCAGATGCAGATGTCGTGGCTCGGCCAGCAGAAAATGGAGGAGGTGAACAGGAAGGACAGAACAAGCATGAACTACATCAAGTCGCGCAGCAATCAGGGCGTCAGGCAGACCGTGTAAGGCTTTATTAAACACAGAAGACTTAAGGAACTTCCTGTTTCAGTGGCGTTTACTTTTCCAGGCGCGGCCTGATGGAGGATGATGCTGAGCCCATCTTTGAAGATGTGATGATGTCATCACGGGGGCAGCTAGAGGACATGAACGAGGAGTTTGAGGACACCATGGTGATCGATCTGGTGAGTTCCGCCTTCGTTTAAAACCTGTTTTAGTTTTATTCAAATCTCACAACTTCCGTTTGATTTTCAGCCACCATCGAGGAACAGACGTGAGCGAGCCGAGCTGAGACCAGACTTCTTTGACTCAGCGGCAATGATAGAAGACGAGTCGGTATGTGGGATTTGGAAACAGTTTAAAGAAACACTGTTTGGTTAAATTATAGAAAGAACATATTGGTTCTATTCACATTTAATGCAAACACACCAAATTTAATTCCACATTTATCACCCTTTTTGTCTTTTTTTTTGACATCCTCTCTCCTCTCCCTACTTCCAGGGGTTCACCATGCCCATGTTCTGATCTGGACAAAGTAACGTTCCTGTTATCAGCACCCACACCAGGAGTAAAATGGGGGGAATGGGGGGAGGGTTTGGGAACCCAGATCACCTGCCAATCAAACTCTAAAGAAGAAGAAAAATAACTGTTAGGCTGTCGGTCTCTGACACGATGGAAGGATGTTTTATGAATCCGACATCAGCTGGACCTCACCTGGAATCCTTTTGGAGGTTCCATAATCTGGTCTGAACTATTAGAGAGCTGTGTCCTGTCCATGTTCTTCCTCCTCCTCCTCCTCTTCTTCTGCTGCCCGTCGGTTTATCTCTCGTTAGCGGTGGATCCGAAGGCGTTCAGGCCGCTTCAACCTAGTCGGCCTGTTCAGTTCTCCTGTTACAGCGACGCTTATGGTCAGCATCTCGGAGCACCAAGACCCTCTGTACAGCCCCCCCACCCCTTCTATTGGTGTCGCACTTCGGCCCTTCTATTAAACCCAATATGGAGAGGATATCCGTACTAAAATGTTCTACTTTGCTCCTTTTAGGACCCACAGATCTCTCTTCTCTGTTCACTATCTCTCGTCCGTGGTGTGTGATGTGCTCGTGAAGTCTTGGTGGTGATAATGGTTGAGTACTGGCGCACTCGCACACAGATCATCAGCTGTGGGCTGACCCGAAGGAAGGAACCCAACTAATCCTGTACTTGTCCACAAATGAAAGGTTTGATTGTGAAAGCGCGTCTTGAGGCCAATCTTGGGAGAGAACACCCCCCCCCCCCCACACACACACACACACGCACACACACACTCCAAATAACGGCTTTTTTAAGTTACAAAAACTTTTAAAAAAAGATAATAAACATATTTTCAATTCTGTAGCTTTAGTACTAAAGTTTTAAATCAAGTGTGTTTTGTTTTTGTCTGATGTTTGTACAGTTTTTGCTTTTTTTAAAAATATGTATCATGTTTGTTGCCAAATTGTGGCCTACATACTCTAAAGTATATTCCATCCCTCCCCTCCTCATCCCAGACGGTTAACAACAAAACCAGCTTCTACGCGCTGTATGATCGGATTGTAATCGTCACACACTTAAGTATTAATGCAGAAAATCTGTGCCGTTGGTCCATTTAACAGGTCGAAACTTATTTTGCTCCTGAAAGCAGTGTTACCAAACCCAAGAAGCTCGTCGTTGTCATTGTTTATATCCATATGTGACGGATCTTTGTCTGGCGGATGTGTTTGAATGTTCTCAGCCATATCTTTATCCACCATTCTTTTGGGCAAATCAATCATTTACCACCTTTGCTCATTGGCTCAGAGGCAGTCCTGTAAATATCAGAGACAATTGCATCGATTCTGCAGTGCAGTTGATATTGGTTGCCCTAAAATACTCTAAAAGCCTGATTTTTTTTTTTCTGTGAACTTAAATTCTTTTTAATAAAATAAACCTTGTATTCAAACTGACCACTGGTTTGGACTCTTAAACGTTCAGCTACAATAGGAGCTAAGACCCAACATACAAATCTGCAACAGCCAATGAACAAATCTGTTTCATTTTATAAACAAAAAGGGATGTTTAGGTATTTTTTAAAATAATTTTCTTATGTAATAAATAAAATCTGCCAAACTAAATAACATTTTTATATTCTGACACCAAACACCATCAAAGCAATGTTTGTAACCAATATCATTTGTTTTCTCAGCTAATAGGCATACAAAAGGAATTTAATAAATTTTTTATTATCAATTAATGAGATTCAAGTAATTCAGTTAAAAATTTAACATGATTAAAAAAGTGTTATTCTGCATAAACGTTTATGGGTAAGTATTATAGTATTTATGGGTTAGGGTTGTGATTTTTCACACACGGCAGTAAAACTGATTCTGAAACCTTTGGAAATCACTAAATCACCACAAGAGGGCAACAAAATCAAATAAAAATAGCAAGGAGGAAAATCATGAGGAAAACTTTTGAAATGGTATTTTTTGTTCTTGCTAAATAAGTTTAAAAAAAACATGTTTATTGTGATAAAATGAAAATAAAAATAAAATTTTTGGTATGGAAATGAGAAAATGATTTAGTTTTGACATTTTTTATTCAAAATTAATTAGGCTAATATTTTTTACCACCTAAGAATAATAAATTATATAAATATATATATTTAATATTTTAACAACCAAAAATGTACATTTATTTCATTGTTTCTGATGAGAAAACCCAACTTCTAAACTTTTTAGACTCAGAATAAACACTAGACTCTCGTTTCAGTGTTTGATACAACTTCCTGATTCTTGTACAACTCTGACCTGCTGATACCAAATATGGTCTTACGATTAATCACCAATAACGGAGTACAATTTTTTAATTTAATACTGATTAACCTGATTATGATGGAAGAAACAACATGGAGGACAGCAGGCACACCGGGGACTAAGAAGTTAGCACAAGTCTCATTTAACTAAAATCAACATCCAATTTTCAAATCCATGAAGTCAAACACAACAGTGACTCATTGTTTATTTTATAGATGAAAGAGCAGCAAAAAGGCACAGTCCCAGAATATGAAAAGTGTGTTTTGGTGGAGGTCAAATATGACTACATATTCAAGCCTTAAGGGGAAAACACTAAAAGTACTTTAATGCCTTAATAAACACATTAACTACAGTATGTTTGTGTTTCCTGCTAAAATAATGTCTTTCAGAGGTGAAGATCATATTTCACACAGATTTGTTCAAAAGTTAATAATAGCCAATATGGCCACTGCTGAATCTGCAACCACAGAACTATTAAAGTAATTTAAAATGTGTTTTTGGGAGATCTGATGGACATAAAACCCTGATTCTAGTCAAAGTAACAATAATTCATTTAAGTCTAAACTGTTTATTATGAAACCCAATAAAAGAAACCAGGCACGGTGCCTCGCAGCAAGAAGGATGCAGGTTCAAAGCCCTGCTACAGCAGCTCCCAGCAACCGTACTCGGGTAGATAAGTGAAATGAGTCCCAAGAGGATGTTTACTCAATGCTTTGATTGGAGTGATGAACAGCGAGGACCAGTCCGGTCTGCTGAGGGGGTTCCTACAAGAACCGGGTCACTCAGCAGTGTAGGTGTACAGTCGGGTCGGATCGCTCTCACAGGGGAATGTTGGCGTGCTTCTTCCACGGATTCACCTGCTTCTTGCTGGCCAGCACCTCCAGATCCCTGCAAATCCTTTTTCGGGTTGTCGCCGGCTCGATGATGTCATCGACAAAACCTGATTAATTCAGATGGGTGCCATTTAACCTACGGATCAGGAACTAGGAATATGACATGTTTGTGTCTGGTTAACAGCAGGTTTACCTCGGACAGCAGCCGGGAAGGGGTTGGCAAACTTTTCCACATATTCAGCCTCTGCCTCAGCTTGGTTCTCCTTTCCTCTGAAGATGATCTGAACAGCGCCCTGGGAACATTCAGATGATGAACGGCGGCACTTTGAATCAAGTAAAAACACAGAGACAACCTTAAGAGTGGGTTTGTACTTTCGCTCCCATGACTGCAACTTCAGCTGTCGGCCAGGCGTAGTTCATGTCACCTCTCAGGTGTTTAGAGCTCATGACATCATAGGCTCCCCCGTAAGCCTGGAATAAAGACCAGAACAGTTATGGTGGACTATCAACGCAGCTTTTGGCAGCATGTTTTAATGGCTGTCATCCACGGATGTCTGAGTGGCCTCCTCTTGGATAAACCGCTTATGTCCTGAAGCATTGATGAGCTAAAGGCTGCAGATGGCTTTCATGGTGGTTCAAGCAAATGTTTATGTACACATAGACACTTTTCAAAGTGGCCAAAATCTCCATCCGAAGCGCGTTGATTCAAGCAAACTTAACAGTTTGATCATCCAGACCGAGAGTCAGGAGGAGTGGCTCTGGAGCCACAAATAAAAAACACACTTCTGTTTTAAAATATTGTTACAATTAAGTAACTTTTCAATGGACTAATTAAGCAGCATTTCCATAACTGAGTGAAAATAAAAATACCAGTAATATTTAGATTTTTTTGAAATTTAATACAAATAAACATCCTATAGAAACAAATCAATCCACCTTTTTGCAATTTTTTTTTTCATTTAAAACTTAATAGAGACAAAATGATGACAAATTTGTAGAATTGGCATTAATCTCAGAATTCTGGGAAAAAAGATGCCTCTTGTTCAGGCCCTTTTCTGTAGAATTTCACAAAAACTCAAATAGTTATTTTCCAAAAGGTCTTGTATCCATTGAGGCTCTAAACGAGTTTTATTTGGATGGGCTGAATGTGATCAACAGCTGCAGACGTCAGCGATAGGAGCTACAGGTGGACACACACCTTTCTGGTGATGATGGTTATTTTTGGTACGGTAGCTTCTGCAAAAGCAAACAGGAGTTTGGCTCCGTGTCGGATGATTCCCCCGTACTCCTGGGCGGTGCCTGAAGACGACAGTCACAGCAAATAAAGGGAATTTTCTGCTTTCATGTGAAATATTTAAAAAAGCCAATAAAAGCCCAAACATCTGAATGCTCCTAATGGAAATTTCCAAACTAATTTGTGTATTTCTAAAAGTTACCTGGCAAGAATCCTGGAACGTCCACGAAGGTGATGATGGGAATGTTGAAGGCATCACAGAAGCGAACAAAACGAGCTCCTTTTACTGACGAGTTGATGTCCAAACAACCTGAGGAGCAGAACAAACTTCTCTAAGCTAAAGTCCAGCTGGGTATTTTCAGCTCCACGCTCACGCCGACTTACCAGAGGCGACTTTAGGCTGATTACCCACAATGCCCACTGTGCGCCCATTCATTCTGGCAAATCCAACCACAATGTTTTTAGCGTAGGTCGGCATGATCTCAAAGAAGTCCCTCTCGTCCACTATCTGAACATTTAGAGTTAGTTTTACTTCCAGCGGGGAAAAAATGTGTGTGTGAGTGTGTGTGTACACATACAGCGTGAATGATGTCCAACATGTCGTAGGCTTTCGTTGACTCAAAAGGGACGACTGTGTCCAACGACTTCACCAAACGATCACTCGAAACAAAATAAGTAAATCAGACAGGAGCTGAAGAATTTGGCACATAAAAAAGGTCTAAATGCTACAAAGACAACTTCAGTAGCAAAGTAGAAAAAAAAACAAGCTAATTTTTATTTTGTGGCAGGTTTTTTAATTTTATTTTACATAAAATCATTTAACAACCTATCTTTGTGATTCATAACTGAATTAAATCCATTTATGATTTTTTTATTTAAAGAGCAAATCAACTGTTTTGCTGATAAACTACATAAATGAGTGTCTAATCGTGCTGCAGACACGTGTGGTGAATAATTTGGCACTTTAGTGCATCTTTGTTAAAATTTAAATATTCTGCCTAAAACTGTCAGTGATGCGCCCTCGTCAGGTGAAAACTCTGCACTGCATTTGAATTTAAATCTGCCATCGCTATTGACTAAGAGGTACACTATGACGTTTGCTGGTACATTATGATGTCACAATGTCCTTGTGAGCCTGTGTGTGTGTTTGTTAGCGGCTCCGCCCTCCTGGTCTGCCAGGCAACGGCATTTGTTGCATTTTTCAAAAATAAAGTGGGAGTGGAGTAAGACTGGTAGGGGGTGACTTGCTCTTTAATAAATGTTCTGAAACAATATTGTTACCTGAAATTTTATTAATTTAACAGTTTTTAATTTAATACTTGGTCAGTTTATGGATTTGTTTGATTAACTTTACTTAAATGTTTGATTAGAAAACTGAGCTGTTCACATAATTAAGAATCAACAGCTGCTTAAATTCAGAATTCAAATGTTGTGCTTCCACTGTTATTAGTGACACACAGGTTATGTGGAAAGTGTCTAGATTTCGGCCATCAATATCAGCAATACAAAAACCCATTTTGGTTGATCTCTAGTTTCAAAATTCAAAAATAAAGCAATTCCAAATAAATAAACTGGGGTAATAAACTAGCTTAAAAATGAACAAAAGCAATAACTTCACATGTATTCATCTCAGATCTCGACTCTAATTCAGTTCTGACCACGATAGATCGCCACGGCGACACATCCAGCTGAAGAACAAATGCTTTTTTGATATTACACCAATTCTACTTCATAGCAGTTTCTTGGTTCCCAGACGGTTTCAGATGCAGTTTATGAATATTTGTCTATTTTGAAACTCAGATGTACTAAAAATCAGATTTTCTCTGTTAGAAATGTTTAAACCAGCATGTTGCCGCGACACTGGGTCTCCATCAGGGTCTTTGTTTCCACGATGAAAAAAGGACCTCCACATCTGAAGCATCAACAGATCACCTATGTGAGCTCCTAACGGTGCACCCTCAAAATAAAAGACATGTTTCTTCACCTGGGGTCCTGGCACTCCCTGATGGGGGCGGGGTCCTGGTTGCTAAGCGGAAGGAAGTTGAAGAAGTCTCGCAGGTAGAGCAAGGCCTCGACATCATTCTCAAAAGCGCGATGAGCCACACCTGAGAATAAAAAAACAAATTAATAAACTAGGGGTTGAAATTAGCGTTGGGACGATAATCAATACATCAATGAATTACGATAGATAAAAAATGAACTCAATCATTTTTCCAGCCTCAACATATCGAGGTTAAGAAAAGTACAACTCTATTATTATTATTTATTATCTGAAGTGCCGTTTTAGTTGTTGACACCTGATAGGCTATTGTATTTATTGTCTTGGAGAGAGGGGGTCTATTTTATTGTTTTTGGTGCAATGTTTTCTAACAGACAGTGAAAGTCCTTATTTATTTATTTATTTAGTTTGTTTTATTTATTTTTTTATTTGTTCTGGACATTTCCTTGTTAAATAAAGGTTTACTGTTGCATTTTAAAGGGTGTACCTGCATTATTATGATATATTAACAATACAATAGTGGTTATTTTGGTCTTGATAATATCGACAAAAATATCGTTTGTCGTCAATAATTTGTTGGACAAAATGTTGTCCAGCAAAATTTGTTATCGTCCCAGGCCTTGTTGGACTTAACTTAAAAAAATGTACTTAATTAATTAGAGGCTTTGCAATTAATTAATTAATCTTGATTAATCGCATTTTAAGGTAACTGTCGTGGGATTTGTTGGGATGTGTAAATATCAGTATGTGTGTATATATTGAATCTAATGGGGATCGAAATAAGAGATATATGGATATAGTTGCTGGATATACCTGCTTTCTACCAACTACAAAGCATAAAGGTAAAAAAGTAGACTTTTTTTCTTCATGAAGTGCGATTTGTGATGAATCATTTAATAGTAGTTTTAGTTGTGTTTGGAGCACAGAAAAACGGTTACATGGTCTTGTAGCCCAGGCTCTGTAGTTCTTTTAGAGGTGCAGCTTGTTCACTTGTATTGATGTTTAGGGCACAAATTTTGATGCTTACATTTTTTAGCCCCAACTGCGGATGATCGGGCTCAAGCGTTCATTTTTAACTCTTTTTTTCTTATTAATTGTAATTAACATGTAAAATCACCTTTCCAAAAAATAAAAACTTTATTTATCTAATGTTTTTGCTAAAATTGGAAACCCAGAGCACTGATGTCCTCCCTACTCCAGCAGGCTGTCACCAACTATTTAAAGACTCCATTTTCACATGTAAAATACAGACCTGACACCGCGGTGTGAGTTTTAGCGCCACCGAGCTCTTCTTGAGTCACATCTTCATTGGTGACAGACTTCACTACATCTGGTCCTGTGATGAACAGGTAAGATGTGTCCTGTAAACACAACATCAGGTGAGTGAGAATACCTCCACAGGTTTAGTGTGTCTACGTCAGCAGCTTCATACTTTAACCATAAAGGTGAAATCCGTCAGGGCAGGGGAGTAGACGGCCCCTCCCGCACAAGGACCCATGATGAGGGAGATCTGAGGGATGACTCCTGAAGCCAACACATTCCTCTGGAAGAAAATAAACATATTTTGCTTGAAGTTTGTTCGTGAAATAACAAGAAACTACTATTTGGAGAATTATCCACACCAAAAATATATCCGCATATCCAGCCAGGGATTCCACCCCCTCCTGGATCCGAGCTCCTCCAGAGTCATTCAGTCCGATAACGGGAGCCCCAACGGTCAAGGCTTGATCCATGATCTGACATTTTACCACAAACGGCAGAAACACGCAAACACACTCACGTGATCAGTCATTGTTAAACAGATGATTTGACACATCAGTGAAAAGTGAACAAGTCCAGAAAGGTTGTTTACCTTACAGATCTTCTGAGCATGAGCTCCAGACAAGCTGCCACCAAACACCGTGAAGTCCTGCAGGAGGACAAAGATCAATTCATTCATCAGAGACAATTTTAAATTCCACAACATTTTCTGTGCAATAGTTACATACCTGACTGAACACGTAAACCAGCCTGCCGTTGATCCTGCCTCGGCCCGTTACAACGCTGTCCCCAGGGAACTGAGAAGTAAAAAACAGGTTTTACCCTCCCACCGTCTTAATGGGTGACCACGTGAGGAAAAGTTGACCATTGAGCAGGGTTGATGGTTTATCCCTTGAGGTCCACATGGCAGGAGTGAGCACCACCTCACCCTCACCCCTGCCATGTGGACCTCAAGGGATAAACCATCAATCCTTCTCAATGGTCAACTTTTCTCGCAGGGTCACCCATTAAGACAGTGGGAGGGTTAAAAGGGAAAAAAAGGGGGAATTCTTTCTTTGTTTCTGCCGAGTTCTTCACCAGTTACCTTGTTAGCATCCTGCTCCATTCCAAAGTCAGAGCATCGGTGCTCCACAAACATGTCTGTCTCCACAAAAGACTCAGGGTCCAGCAGGAGTTCTACTCGCTCCCTGGCTGTCAGCTTACCCTACACCAGATCAATGCAAAGGTTATTACACACACACACACACACACACACACACACACACACACACACACACACACACACACACACACACACACACACACACACACACACACACACACACACACACACACACGTTTCAACAGGGTATTAATAATAGAGAACATTTGTGATTCTTTACACAGAGGATCGTTCACAGGACCACCAGGTCACGGCCTTTAAATTTCCAAAAAACGATTTCCAACTAAAGGCCGTTGGTGAGAACGGGTGATTTCCTTTAAACACGCACTTTTAGACTTGATTTCTTGCAAATTGTATGAATGGTTTATTCTTCCAAAAAAAAAAAAAGGTTCAAAATTCATTCAAAATGTTCTACTTTTCATCCAACGAAAATTAACCTTAAATTAAATTATCAGGTCTAAAAATGGTCAAAAAATCATTTAACCAAAATCCTCCTATCTACCCGGACACTTGGCAAACAAACATTTTCCACCCGCCTCCCCATGTGCTACTAATCAGCTTAATGACTAAGGCGTGTCCAAAAAGTTCACAACTACATCAATTTACCAAAAAATAAAAAATTAACACATTTAAATTGCAAACTTAACTTATTATAAAAGGAATGATAAGAAATTCTAAAAGAAATGTATAACTAACAGAATTATGCTATTTTACTGAAATGGCCACCACATTCCGGCCCCTAATTCATGTTTAACACGAATTACATCTATACCTCTAACAAGTGGCCGTTACAAAATGAATCATTAACATAAACAAACCTGTGGACACCAAAGCTAAGTGAAAAATCTTCTGCTTTAGGGACAGAGTTACTCTAGATTGATCAATGGTAATGAGAAGTGGTGATGCAGGTTTATTTTAAGATGTAAACTCGATTTATTTAGATATTTTATTCTTCAACTATTTATATTTTCTCAATAACTGCGCAAAACTATATTAACACTAATTTATTCGCTTCACAAGGAGATGGACGAGCTTCATCAGAAGGCTTTTATTTGGACATTGGTTCTTTTCTGAAAGCATCAGAAGTCTTGTTTTAACATTGATCTAGGTTTTGAAATGAGGTTTTGTCTGAATAAAATAGACACATCTACTTTAAACTGCATGTTTTGACACGTTACTGTCTGTCACAAGCGCCTGATCATTTGTTTATTTTCATCTTTTTAAATAAAAATGATCAGAGTTGGATAAATTAAAAGTTGATTTCTATAAAGCTAGCAGGGTGAAACTCAACATGTCTGTCTCAACACGTAAAGCAAAGTCTCTCCTCACTAGACAGGTGGAAGTAAACGATTGTAGCAAACTTAAACAAGAAATAAACACAAAAAATAAATAAAACAGAAGGAAACGATCTACAAAGATTAAAATAGAAAATATATTAAATAAAACAATATTGGTCAAAAGGAATAAACGTATGCAGTTTCTTTTATAAATGTTTAAAAGCTTAAAATGTTGTCAGTGTGAGTGGACACCCCAACAGGAACTGGTGACAAAGAGCAACAATGTTTACCGATTTCAAACGACAAAATACACATTTGTAACTAAGTAAAAAAAATGTTTAGATGTAAGTGGAAAGTTGACTTCACCCTTTGGTGCTGTGCATCTATTCTCTTCTGACCTCCCCCCATTTGCGCTGCCTTCCGTTTCTTCTCAATTCTCTCCTTAACGGACAAATGGCTGACCGAGTACCAGCGACAGTCACTTTGGATGTTCGTCTGCAGCAAACACGCTGATTTTGCGCCATATTTGACTTGCACCAAAGACCTGTAGGACACCCTTAGACCATTTATCAGTCCACAACTGTTACGGGCTAGACCGAAGGCCGCCATGTTGCTGTGAAAGGGCTGTGACGACAGCGGGTCAGAAGTGACAAGCAGATATTTCAGCCAATAGCTGACAAGGGGCGAGTTCTGGTAGCCAATGAGAAAGAATATCTTTACAGGGCACAAAAGGGCGGGACTTAATGACTTTCCCTGAAAATCTTTGGAAAAAATATTCCCTGAACTGTGTTTAACAGGTGGAACATATTTGTCTCGCTACAGAAAACGTGAAATATCTAAAAAGAACTAAAGTTGCTTGAAGGCGGTAGTTGAGCTTTTGCTATGTATTTTAATACTGTGAGAATTCCAGTGTGCTGCCCAACCGTTTGTTTTTATTCCCTTTATGCCCATCACCAGCAGTCAGGGCAGCGGTATGCCCTGGACAGACCACTACAAAAATAAATTAATAATTACAATAAAAAAGTTAATAAACAATAAAAACAACAATCAATCAAATAAGCAAAACGAACACGTTTTTTAAATTGATTTATTCTTATTAATTTTGTCCTATGGAGCAAAGCACAGTATGAGCTTTTGAACACCAGATTACAGTACTTTGCAGGATAAGGTATGAAAAAAGTTTCGTTCTTTATTTAATTGACTCGTTTGGTTAATTTTGCAACGTTTTGGCAAAACAAAACCGTAAACAAAGGGTTGTCATTAGAACAAAATAGGGCAAATAGTAGCCTACGTAGATTTTTATGCTTACTTTTTGTATTTTTAATAATCGCTTCGCGTTTTCTATTTATTGACTTCTAAATAATACTCACAATTTTATTATATGCTGTCTTCATCACAGTGGTAGAAATATCAGAAGAGCGCACGTGATCTGTATCCAGGGTATCTAGAGAAAGTCTCGCGTGATGATCATCCGTATCGAGAGGTTGTTGTGAGGAAAAGTGGAAAACCGAATGATTGATGCACATGTAAAACGGCAAGTTAGCTATGTTTCCGTCACAGCTCGCCAGTATTCGTAGGATAACCAACAAAAACCGCAAGTCTTTGGATTGCACCGTACATTCTGGACATTTGTGTGTGGAATAAATGGACTGAAGGGGGCTAGTGATACGGTTAATTATTTGCTAGCTAATTCGGCTAGCCATGCTAACGCTAGCTCGTTAGCTTTGTTTACATCAAATGCGCGCCGGGCGTATTCTGCTCGACAATTCTGCTCGATTTGAGTCCCTATGTTGCATTAGGGATATGCAATATTACAACATATGATGCAGTTGGATGTTATTGATGTACATTTGAAGTGTATTATGAAAGACTTCGTTTTAAAGCTACGACTTCAAACTGGCTAACAGTAGCTAGCCACCTGCCGAGCTAACCAACGTTGTTCGCGTTATTGATACCGTTTCACCATGTTTGCTGGCTCTTATTGTGTCAGTAATTCTATATCACTCTGCACTGACACACTGCAGTGATACGTTTTTGCTCCGTCAAGCTGTTTTTATTTCTACCGAGCCTCCGGAACTCGAGTGTCTCCTACTTTGTTGCTGCTAGCGGCTGGATATCCCCCCCCAGGACTGTGTTTTCCTTGAAGCTGGGGGAGTACACAGCTATGAATCCCGGGAATGCAACCGCTTTGTATGTGTCTGCCAGCCGGGCAGTGCTGCAATGCGATCCGCGGGAACCTCACACTTTTGCCGAGATGTACAGGCAACTACCCTTCTTCCGACAGTCCCTCGCATGTCTTGTTTGTGGTAAGCATCTCGAAATTGTAAAATATAATCCAGCATATATTCAGTGTTGCTTTTTACAGTCTAAATGGCCAAAATGCTTTTATCGTTCCTTCTATGAAGTAGCTGGATTTAAGAATTATACATATTTTTCATATAGACTGAAACGTCTGTGGGCGTGCTTGAGATTGGAGCAGTTTACACCATTTCTCGCGTTCACTACTGTGGTTTCCTTAGCAACGAGGCTGTCCTCTTGACAAGACATATGACTCCTCTGTTGTGCTGCAGAGCCATGCGGTTCCAGTTCATGCTTTATTTACTTGGGCATCCATTCTGACACAGCTTACACTTTAAGACAAACAATACTTTAAAAAGCAACACTTGTGACATAATTAACAAATTTGTAAAAATGTGTTACAGATTTGGTTAGTTCATTCTTTCTGTGGATAAAAAAAATCTGTTTATTTTTTTCATTCTGGCTTTTTCCTGAGATTTCAATTGATATTTTACAGTTTCATTATTTCTAGTATCTGTCCTGATTGTGTTTATTCATATTTTATTGCACCGTGCTCAGGGACCTTGTGTAACTGCGCAATAAATAAACACTTCTTATATTAATTTGTTTTTTCTGGTTGATCAGTGCATAAAAGTCTTAACGTTTTTACAGTGATAAGTGCGTTGAATTACTCATTTTTTAAGTAAACTTAAGCAGTAAAACAGTATTTTAAGTACAGGTATTTAATGTGTTTCTAAAGGGATTTGGTATTTAGGTATGCAAAATGATTGAATGCAGTGGTAAAACCTACTGTGTTTTTGTTCTTACCTGATCAGACATATGGGGCATTTGACTGAATTAAATTACATTGTCATTCACAAAATTGGCCCTTTTGGCAGATCTACAGATTGAGTGATAATTACAATACATGAAATCTGCTTAGTTATTACACCTGTTCAGTCTCATAAAAAAGAGTATATACTTTTTTTTTTCTTGTTTTAGGCAAGTTACTTCAGGATCCTATTTCCCCGAAACACACTGAGTGTCAACACTACGTCTGCTTGGGCTGTAAAGGTCAAAAGATGCAGATCAGGCCAGCGTGCAGCCGCTGTAAGGACTATTCCTGCTTCCAGGAGAACAAACAGCTCTCTATCCTCGTGCAGTGTTACAGGAAGCTCTGTCTCTATGTTACTCAGTCACCATTGCTCCAGTCAATCAGCAGCCACGGGTCTCCAGAAGTTATGGCTTTGCTCCAAGAGGTGCTGTTGTCCCACCAGGAGGAGGCGATGGACACTGACAACTTGAGCTTGACTCATGAGGATGTGCATGTGTCTCCTCATGAATCCCTTACCCCCACAGAGGCACCTCCTGCTCCTGCAGAGCTCTCAGCTGTTCCTCAGAGCTCCTCCTCAGATCCACCGTGTTTTAATGGACCCCAGGAATGCAACGGAGATGCGCTGGAGGATCTTGAACCTTCTTCCCCTGAGCTGGAAGTATGTGAACTTATAGAAGAGCAGCAGCAGCATTCTAGCTTGGCTATGTCGGATTCTGCTTGTGGTGGTTTAGAACTGAGTCTGACCACCGGGCCTTTAACCCCAACAATAGGCACCGTGTGCTCACTCAGGGAGGGGGACTCTTGCAACAGGGATCTGGACGAGGGAGAGGTGTTGCTCCTCAGTGTTGAGGAGGTGTTACAGACATTGGATCACCTTCAGCCAGGTCGAGACTGTCTTCAATCACAGCCTGAAAGGACACACACCCACTCACACATAGCCACAAACAGAGCCCACACTCAAATGTTCCTACAGCTGGATGCAGCACACAACTACACACAAATTCAAACTGGGAGGACTAACACAGTGGCAAGCCACGGTTCTTATTCACAAACATCTTCCTTCGAGCCTTCAACTGTCTATAACCCACCACCAGTCCGCCTTAACCGGAAGCGTTCCCGTTCGGAGAGTGACAGGGAAAAAGTAAACCCCCTTGCTATTGACTCCATCCTGCAGGGCTCCTCAGTGCATTCACACACTCCAGCTCCCTCTCACACACTTCACACAAAACCACCCACACTAACTGTACCAGCCCACACATACTCGTCACTTCCAAATGGCGCACCTCCCAAGCCCTGTCGTCCTGCTCAGAACCACAATAAAGGTGCCAGAAAGCATGTGGATCAGAGTCCTAAGAAACCCCACGCCAAGGCACGCAGCGGTGGAGGCTCCAAGGCAAAGGACCGAAGCAAAGACCAGCAGCAAATTCCAGGCTGCCTGTTAGCTACAGCACCTGGCAGACCTCCATATAAGAAGCCGGTGGAAAAGAAGGGCTGTAAATGTGGCAGGGCGACTCAGAACCCATCGGTTCTGACCTGCAGGGGGCAGCGCTGTCCTTGTTACTCCAATCGCAAGGTGAGCCCATCACTACTTACTGTCTTCATTTGAGTTTGTGAAACCTTAATGTTCAGTAATCAGCTCAGATAGATTTGTTTTTTTAAAATGGTGCTTGCATTTTGCTCAACTGACTTTATACTATTCCTTTTTTAGAAATGTAAAACCTTACAAGTGTTTTAAGATGCATTTTATAAAGCTAATTATATTTATTGTAATTCATTTCTTGCTGCCTATCTGATATCTCAGGCATGCTTGGATTGCATCTGTCGAGGTTGCCAGAACTCCTACATGGCTAACGGTGAGAAGAAGCTGGAGGCCTTTGCCGTACCTGAGAAGGCCTTAGAACAGACACGACTCACTCTTGGCATCAACTTGACCAGCATCACAGCAGCTGCAGCGCTCCGCAGCCCGGCATCGACCAGCATCCGCACCAAGACCCTCCTCAATGTTGCCACAGCAACGGGAACTCCCGTGACCACCGCCTTCCTGTCCCCCAGCCCTCCACAAGATCCCAACTATGACGACAGCCTGGAGCTGCTGATTGGATGAGCCACCAGGACTCCAAAAATAGACAGCTGGCTGCTGATTGAATGTGACTGCTGATCACTGTGTCTGTCAGATGACTTGTACCTCCCCTTCTTAGGGGAGGCAGTGTATGGCAGCTATGGGTCAGGCCTGTTCTGTAACCTGCTCTTCTTTGTTGGAAATGCTGAGTAGTGAGACTAGCATGGGTGTGCCAAAGCCTCCTGTATTGTGCCTGTATGCTGGTGTGTTGTGTTGCCAGTCTGTAGTTACTAATACTGTGTTTCTATACTTGAGAGGTGCTTTTTGTGTTCATAGATGACAGACATACTGTAAGAGGCAATAGGAACCCCCAAAAGGTTTTGTTCATGCACAAACACATTCAAGTATGCCTGTGTGGATCTTCTTTTTTGGTGCGTAATTGTTGCATCTGCAGCTTTGTCATTTCATGGTTGCAACATTTTCCGAATGTGAGTATTACTCCCACTTGTGAGAAATGCATTAATGGTATCAGGACAGCCCTTACTAATCCCTCACCCTGTACATGTTCACACTTGTGATTGTGAGTGGTTCTCACAAGACTGTATGCCTTTTTTGTCATCTTTTTATACTTTTCGTCTTGAACTTGACTGATGCAGGCGTCGTTCTTGCAGAAAATTATTGTCAAAGCACTTCCCTGGCTCTGCGTTTGAGTGTGTGAGACTTAATATCTGTGGGGAGGCTTATGGTAAGTTAGTCTGATTGATACGTTGAATTACACTTAAACTCCTCTTGGTTTCCATAGCAATAGCATCAACATGAGCTCCCCAGCTGTCGTGCTCGGTTGTTTACATTTTTCCCATCATCGGTCTTAAAAATACACTTATGCTTTGATAAGATTTTACATGATTGTAAAAATAAACTGAAGCCATACTTTCTCACAAACAACATAATACTATGACCTTTAACCACCACATGTACACACGCATGTTTATGGGCCCAGTTGATCAGAGACTTATTTGAAGGTTACTTTAGATCTGTTATCAGGTTTCTGTGTTTTTCACAATCACATCAAAGCCCTCCAATGATTCCCAAGGCTGTGTGTCGTCTGTTATTGTTTACCGTCTTGGCTGTTGTTTAGACCAGTATTGGTGACCAAAAAGAGCACGGACTTGGGTTGACCACACAAACACCTTGGCGCTCCGCTCAAACCAGGAAAATAGCAGGTGAACTAGAACACATTTAATTATGACTTCTCTTCCTGTGTGTGTGTATGTATGTATGCTTAAAAAAGTGTATATTTTGTTTGGGCATTACTTGAACCCTGATTTTTGATCTTTTCTAATGTAAAAATGTTTTGTTTGAGGAGTGACGGTTATCGCTGAAACATTCACTGCCATATTATGAAGACATGTAATACAACATGAAATAAAAGAGTTTTTTACTTTTTCACCTTTGTGTGTTCATGTGTGCTGAGGAGAGATTTTCTCACGTTTCATTTTTATAAATAACAAAATGGCCACAGACTCTGGATGTGGGGGTCCCAGGTTTCCAAAAGGGGGGCTGGAGACACAACTGGATAAATATATTTTATTTAGTGCACAGGCAAGTACAAATCTGGAATGTAATGCTTACTGAAACAATGGAAACACACCTGCACAGTATATCGCTGCCACAGTTCCACCCTGAGAAAATAAATGAAATTTGTACATTCACAAAATCACATAGAGAATGATAAAATACCAAGTAACTGTGGGACCATTTAGGTTTTGTGCTTATTACTTAAAAATACTGTAGGTACACAATTCATGCCTATGATGTCAGTGATTCCCCCTCAGAGCTCTGGAAACTCGACAGTCAACATGCCTTCATTCAAGACTCTAAAAAAGTTAATTTAACCCTTTAGTACTTTAAGCAGTTTGGAAGCTTGCAAACACTGATGATGCAAACTTGAGCTATGACATGCTTTTATGCTCATTTAGCATCACTTAAACCAGGGGTGTCCAAAACTTTCAAGAGAAGAGCGAAATTTGGCAAGACAGTAGTCCTCACGGGCCACAAAAACGTGATTTATTTCCTTAATAAACAATGCAATTGTTTTATTATGTAGATATTTCACTTTTACTCCTCAAAATAGGTCCCAGTAAACATATTAGTGAAACACTGAACATAAAAATGTAGCTCTACATCCACAGCCTGCTGGAGAGACTAAATTCATGAGTCTAGAAATGCAGTTGGGAGCCGCACAAAACCCCTTCGAGGGCCAGAAATGGCCCCTGACCTGCACTTTGGACACGCCCGATTTAAACACTTTATTACCTGGGAATGGCAACTTGGCTCGGACTGTTTCACATGCAGTCAATACAAATCACTGCTCTCAATAGAAAGCAACCTTATATCACAGTCCTGCAGCAGCATGGTCCGTAAGACGCTTTTTAAACACTTCTTTTAACATCTGGTCTTATCTTCAGACAGCTGCTTGTGCTGTCATCAAAGCCCTGATTTTCTGGTTAACCTCGTGTCCATTTCTCTTTTTTCCTTTATCCCACTAGGAAAGCCCCAAAGTAGCTTGCCCTCCCGTCCATCTCCGTGGTGCTAGCGTTGCTAACGGTGACAAAAAGGCGGTCGGCAGGCTGAAGGAAGGCGGTGCCGGCCTGATGCAGAGAGAAGAGGCCTGGCTCCTGACCTCTGGGCCAGCAGACACTCCGGGATGATTTCATCAGCAAGATAGGTCCCGTGTAGGAGCTCATCTGCTCAAAAACAGGAACAGAATTCTTCATTATAATCAATCATCTTCACCATTGGTTTTATTTAAGTAAAACGCCTCACCTTTTTGTATATGTACTGGACCAGTTCTGCTCCCTCGTCTTCTGACCCGTCCTCCTCTGTCTCCCCCATAGAAGGGAGTCTGAAGTAGGTCTGGGCATAGATGTAGTAGAGGCCTGCTTTGGGCACCAGCAACTCACCTCCTTTCAGCTCCATGTTCTGCAGGAAGGACAGACCTCTCTGGCCCTCCCATAATAAGATACGCTCCCCAAAGTACCCCCTGCTGTTCCACGAGCCTGGAACGATCAGAAACATCCAAAAGTTCAAAGTCATTACAATCTTAAGTCCTTGATGTGCAGTTGCACCATGTTTCCAAGCATGAACGTAGCTTTTGGGGGGGACAGAAGGAACATGCCCCCCCACACACACTTTTTCCAAAGTAAATTTTACTCTATATTAAATAGACACTGATTGAGCGCTAGGACCAAGCAGAAAACAACCGCTTGTGCTGAAGCCTGTTTTCCATCAGAACCGTCCATAAGCACATCTATTGGCTCTGCTGGTACTTGCTAACGTGTGATCGGTCATTCCTGCCACCTGTGCACTGGACAGTTCTGCATTCCTGACATTGCATAGAAGAGCCTCTAGGCTGTGGTTTTATACACATTTTTTGGTTCTCATGCCGGTTGTGTCCCCCCACTTCTAAAATCAAAACTATGTCCATGTTTCCAAGTTTGTTTCTGTCAAAGAAACTCAGGGAAAAAATTGACAACCTTTTTAATTGGTCTTTTTCATTTGCATTACTTGGTTCTTTTAAAACGCAGAAAAAGAGTTGTTCTTTACCTTGTTTTGCTAACGTTTCGGCTAATTACTATAGCCACCATCAGAGTTTTGCTGATGATGGTGGCATCACTTCCTTCTCTGTGGGATTTTTTAATTGACTCCACTTTTTTGTCCTGCTGATATCTTGTCTTTTGAGTGTACTAGTCTTTTTCTAACTGCTACATATGTTTTTGTTGGTGTGTGTGGTTATTTTTATTTTTTTGATTGTTGCTATTGTTTTTTCTGTTATGCCTTTGATGTAAGGAAAAGTTATCACTGGTTCTTGTCTTTGTGGATTTTTGGTCCTTTAGTTGTTCTTTGCCACAGCTCTGAGGATGGCTATAGAAATTAGCTGAAACATTAGCAAAACAAGATGTTTTTAAAAAGAACCAAGTAATGCAAGTTGACAAAATACACAGAATTAATGTACAGAAGATGTCATTAATGTTTTTACAATGACCTCCTTCTGTCTGCTGTTTCAGGGAATTCTGCTGATTTGATCTTCTTGGACCCGAGTGCTGCTTTTGATACCATTGATCATGACATCCTCTTATCTTTACTCGAACACTATGTAGGTGTTAGAAGACGTGCCTTTCTGTGGATTAAACTCTAAACCTGGCAGAGATAACTTTCTCCGTACAGCTAGACCAGTATTCCTCAGCATCAGGACAAATGACATGTGGAGTTCCTCAGGGTCCCATTCTGGGCCCTCTCCTGTTCTCGTTAAAATTGGTGCTATTAGTGTATTTCCACATTTATTTTTCCATTACAGTTAAAACCAATGACAGCTTAAATGACACGAAAATGTGGATGAACTCAAACTTTCTGTGTCTTAACAAAAATAAAACAGATGTCAACCTGTTTGATATGAAGGAGGCTTTGGACCCTGACAGCACTCCCGGCTCCTGTGCACCAATCAGTCGATCTTCTGTGAGAAACCTTGGGCTCACTTTGGACTCAAATCAGTTCAGTTGTCCAAGTCAGTTTCTTTCAGCTCAGACTTTTAGCTTAAGTAAAGACCTATTCCCTTCACACTTCCCATCACAACACGCCTTGACTACTTCCTCATGTAAGGGTTTAAATAAGTCCTCCCTCCACCATCTACATCTACAGTGGTGTTGTTTCTTCCCACTGGCTCTCTGTCCAGTATAGGATCAACTTCAATCTCTTATTGTTTGTATTCAAGGCTCTTCACGGTCTGGCCCAATCTTATCTCCATGACCTACTACTCGTCCTTCTAGAAGCCTGAGGTCAAATAACCAGATCCTCTTAGCCATTCCCAGATCCAGATGAAAGAGCAGAGTTGACCATTCATTTGCGATTGCTGGCTCTGGAACAACCTACCTCTCCACATTAGAAGGAAGCAGCACGTCTGCAGGTCTTGACAGACACAGGTATGAGCAGGTAACTTAATCCGAAAGCAAAATGCCCAGAAGCTAATTCCTTACTTGTTGCTCCATAAAGATTATGTGCTAAAATAAAGAAACGTACATCTCATACAGCTTTTTGTAGTTTATACTAAACGTTTTGCCTCCAGCTAAATGAAACCATTCTCACTCTCCGCTGCTGGATCCTTGGTGGACAAGGCCACGCCGGTCACATGCGCCGCGACTTTAGGAAGTGGGACCCCTCGGACCAAGATTGGCAGCACCCCTGTCAGCTTATCTGTGTGATTACAAACACATCGAGGGGAAAGAACAGTAAAGCTCACCAGAGGGCCTTTTCTGTGGTAAAAGTCATACATAAGCTCACTACTTATCAATGGTGGAATTGTTCTCACTTCTCATAGCGGTGGATATCTCCCTCTGGAATCTGTCAGCAATCTTCTGGTTGGAAAACACAGACAGAGGCAGAGGAAACAGCAAGTGAGCGGGCTGATATGTTATCTACTATGCTGAAAACAATGAGATTTCAACTAAGTTAATTAATCAACATTTTTTTATCACTCAAGAATTGACCAGTTGTCGGTCTTGTTTTTAAATATGTCAGCGTTTTGGTCAGAACTAGATTCCCCAGTTGTTATCATCAGTCTACAAACGGAGTTTTAGGACTGCACAAATAATAATAAAAGTAGGAATAAATCCTGTCTAAGATCATTAAAACAAAGTGAGTCAAAACCTTCTCTATGTGGCGGTGCAGCTGCTGTGTGACCTGCCAGCACGGGTCACTTTTTCTGTCCTCGGCTGGTGAATCCTCGACCTCCGACTCCAGCTTTGCGTTTATCAGACAGGACACACTGCTCCGGGAAAAGTTTTCCTGCATCTGTCAACATGCAAAAGACAAAAAAAAAAAAAAAAAAAAAAAACAACAACAACAACAACAACAACAACAAAAAAGTTATACTAGTTTGTAAATAATAAAAGAAAATCATATCTGGGTCTAATCAAACCATTTTATCTATAATGTTAGAATACAAACACCATACAAATCAGTTTTAATTGTTGACACTGCACGAAAATTTGTCACTCTCCTAAACATTTATATATATTATGAATTTATATTTAGGTAAAAGTGTTTTCCATGATCATTTTCAATTGTTTGATTCTTAATAATTAGCAAATAAAAGTAACAATAAAAAAGTAAAGCAATAAAAGTTAAGCAAATGAAATAACGAGTTGTAGAAACATTGATTTAGGCAGGTGAGAACAGCTAAAAAAACTGAGCTGAGCGTCTAGATTTTTCCCTGGAATTTTCTTGGAATTTCTGAGATTATTAATTTCTTTGGAAGCAGCCTCTTTTAAAGTTGTGTTGGCTTTTATAAGAAGACAGCTAACATGCAACAGGTTGCCACTCCTTTTAGAAAAAGCAACAAGCCTGCAGCTGCCTGTAAAAACAGACACGGTTGGAATTAATAGGCAATTATCCCTTAAGTGGTCCCAGGTGTGATTGGCAGTGGGCGGGGCTTGTTCGGTCTGGTCTTAGCTCAAACACCTGAGAGTTAGCGTTTTTGAGGAGCTATCTGAGACTTGTCACGTTCACTTTAGACGTTTTGAAAAGTGAGAATGTGCAGCTTTTTATGTGTCACTTCCTCCTTTTGTTACCTTATCTACTCGCTCCACCGCCTCCTATATTGTCCTGCCTTAAGCAGAAATTCCCGAGGGACATGAACACGTCTCACTATTTTTCTCGGGCCGTAATTGAATAAAAACAATATGTGGCGCGTTCGTGGACGCCACGACGTTAAGCTTTTTAATGGCGCTTTCTGTGGATAATAGGTTACCATTTAATGTTCAGACGACTTGAAGCTGTGTCTCTTTCAAACGCCTCATGGACTCGAAGCCAAAGTCAAACGCATGCTTACCGTGTTCAGGACTTTGTTGAAGTACATGAAACTCACGGCGACCGCGACGGTCTGCAGGAGGATAGCTGCGAGCATAATGAGACCGAGGCACTGGAGGGAAACAGAAATGGCCATACCAGAGGGGTTTGTGTCCGGACGAGGGGTCAAAAATAATCCCAACCAGTGAGCAGGACAAGTCAGATGAAAGATTCTGTTTCTGCTGGGAAGCATGAAGCCACACAGAGCTGTAGCTTGTAGGTGGAGCAGAGAGGAGGAATGAAGGGCTTCAACTTCCTCAAGATGTCACTGTTATTAAGCAGGAACTACAGGAGCATTAATGCTGCTGCTGCTGCTCAGAGGATTAAACAAATATGTTAGATTTAAAAAATCTAGAAATTAAACAAAAAATATTTTTAAAATTTCTGACAAACTTGGAGGTTTTTCAATTATGTTTTGATCAAAAACTGATGCCTAAAATATTCTAACTGTATATTGGAAATAATCACACCCAACAATAATGTCAATAATGTTTAACTTTTCTGAATCTGTGTTGAGAATAAATCCTTAAAGACACCAGACCAAATGTCACATGCCATGTTCATCTCTATAAAATAATTTTAACTCTTTAACAATTTGTTTTTAGGTTTAAAGGTTAAAAAGTCACGGTGACGTCCGTTAATAATTAGCAAACGCCATAAAAAGTTGACTCTAGTTAAAGGATGACCCATCATCCTGACATGTGTTTTTAAGTGTCTCATCATCACGAGCTGTGAAGAAATATTTTCCTCCTTACAGAGTTTTTCCCATATTATTTTGATTTTTAAATCACACAAACTCTCAAGCTATCATTACACTTATTAAGGGATAGAAGTTACACAAACCAACCTGTCCGTGTTTGAAAAAGGTAACTGGCCCAAAAAACGTCATTGGTTGTGACACTCTTGGCAGCAACAACTATGATCGAGTGTTTAAGACATCTGTTAACACGTTTGTCACATCACCGGAGGACTTTTGTCTTACTCTTCCTGAATTCAGCCACATTGGAGGGTTTCCAATGACATTCTCATTTTCTGCTAAAGTGTAGAATTCATGGTTCCCTCAGTTATAACAAGTGGTCCAGTCTCCACCATGTTTGACTGTTAGTGATGTTCCTTACCTTGTGAGGCCTGCAGAACCATAGATATGTATATATGTTTGTATATGTTTAACAAGGGCGTCAATACTTTTCCGCGCCAGGTTGGTTTCAATAATTGTTCTTAACTTAAATTGATTTAACAATAAAAAATCAGTATGTATGTGTATTTATTTATGTATGTGTGTGTGTGTGTGTGTGTGTGTGTGTGTGTGTGTGTGTGTGTGTGTGTGTGTGTGTGTGAGTGTGTTTATGTATGTATCTGGGCAGAAAAACCGAGAGTTTGAGCAGGTAGTTGTGAAACAGATAAATACAAGTTTCTTTTTTCCCTGCTTCCTCCTATTGTGAGGTGATCTGCATGAGTTCACTTTCATTTTTTACCAAATGAGCTGTGATTGTTATGGCTGCGGTGTTGTGTTTGTCACATGGGAGTCATTCAGTTCACAGAAGTGAACCATGAGTGATTCCTGGAGGTTCCTGGGCTTTCATTCTGTCACCTTTAACCCCTGTTCCATTGTTGATGTGAGGAAATGGGAGTGGAACCCCTCCTGGATGTGGAGGGCCGAACCAACAATCCAAACTTGTGTTAAAGCATTTACACTGACTTAACGCTCAGTCATCAATGCGCTGCACTAAAGAGACTCAAAGGAACAGACCAACATCAGTATCACTCACTCACAAGCTTTCTCAAGAAAAACATTTAGGTGACTATAGCAGAACTTGTTTCTGAGCGGAAGAAGTGGCAAGAGTCTCCTGAGTTCCCTGAAGGAAATCAGTTCCCAGGCTTGTTACAGATGGCGAATGAAACAGGTAAGTGATACTCTACGGCTTTCTGGCCTCAGGTGAGAAAGATGACACGATGAGAGACGTGCACGCCTAGCGCCCCGGTGGAAAATAAAAATTAAAAGTACTTTAAAATCAATCTATTCATGTGTGATTCATCTGTTATGTGGAGTCAGTCAGCTGCTGATCTTGAACGATCACACACACACATAAACACACACAAAGCAGGATTTAAATACCTTAATATTTATGGAATTTGAACATTTCATTGATAACTGTGAGAAATAAAGGTATTGTCTGAGATCTTTGTCTCTACGTTAGTCTCCAAAGGCAGGTAAAGATTTCCAGCTGCTTCGCTCTGCATAGAGAATAAATATGTGTTGAAGCAGTTTGGTGTCTGAAGCACAGTTTGTTCCATGCAAAATAAAACACAAAAAGTTCCTTTTGAATGAAGAATAGAATTAAATGGAGCACTTTGGGTAAAACTCAGGGTGTTCAGCCAGTGGCTGCTGCCTTTGATCGAAGGATGCTTAGAAGGGATTAAAGATTTCACTTTTTGAGCATTTGTTATGATGCGTAACCATGGCAACACACTGGTTTACAATCGGGAGCAGCTGATTAACATTGGAAAGGCTGAAATAATACCTCAACTGAAGCCACAAAGAGCTAAAACGCAAGAAGCGTGGGTGCAGAGTGGGAGAAAACGGAGACAGAGAAAGAGGAAATTCAAATCATCTCTTCCATTGATCATAATGGGCAATGTGAGATCACTGGTCAACAAGATGGATGAACTCCAAGCCCTTTCAAGGACTCAGCCAGAGTATCGGCAGTGCAGTGTTATGTGTTTCACTGAGACGTGGCTGCAGGACCATATCCCCGACTCCAGCATCTCTCTGCCAGGATTACTGACTGTACGAGCAGACAGAGATCTGAAGAGGAGCGGGAAAAGAAAAGGAGGTGGAGTGGCAGTGCTTGTCAACAACAGAAGGTGCCATACAGGTCATGTGTCAGTGAAATGTCATCTCTGCAGCCAAATGTAGAACTCTTGGCAGTAAGTTGTCGGCCATATTATTTTCCAAGAGAGTTCACCAGTGTTGTCTTGGCAACTGTTTATATTCCACCTTCAGCCATTGCTGAAAATGCATGTGATGCCATCAGTTCCGTTGTCGCTAAGCTACAAACCCAGCATCCCAATACATTTGTGGCTATATCTGGTGATTTTAATCATGCCTTGCTCTCTTCTACACTTCCAACATTTCAACAGTTTGTCAGCTGCTCCACCAGAGAAAACAAGACATTGGATTTGTGTTATGCAAATGTAAAGAATGCATACATGTCCAAAACAAGACCTCCTCTGTGACAATCAGATCACAATCTTGTTTTTATCTGCTCAGAATACAAACCACTTGTTCAGAGGCAACCTGTGACAAGAAGAACTGTGAGAAAATGGTCACAGGATGATGAAGAAGCCCTGCAGGGTTGTTTTGAGACCACAGATTGGATGACTCTCTGCCAAGGATATGAAGAGGACATCAATGCCATGACTGGATGTGTAACTGACTATATAAACTTCTGTGTGGACAATATCATACCCACCAGAACAGTGAGATGCTTCGCTAATAACAAACCCTGGATCACCAGTGAACTGAAGAATCTGCTAAATGAGAAAAAAAGAGCCTTCAAGGAGGGAGACAGGGAATTATTGAGGAGTATACAGAAGCAACTGAAGATCAAGATCAGAGACAGCAAAGAGGCATACAGGAAGAAGCTGGAGAACAAACTACAGAGGAACAATATCAGAGATGTCTGGTCAGGGATGGAGAAGATCACAGGCTTCAAGCAGAGGAAGGATTGCACAGATGGCAGCCTGGACACAGCTAATGAACTGAACAAGATCTTCAATAGGTTCAGTTCAGGAACAAACCCAGCATCCTGTCCCCAGCCAATCAGACATCCCATCCTTCTTTGATCCAACATTTTCCTGTCACACGCCAGCTCTTTTGTCCTCTAACGCAGTCATGGACTCTTCTGATTCTATAAATCTGTCTTCAACCAAGTCAGGAGATGCTGCTGCCCCATTTACCTCCCCCTCCCACCTCTCTGTCTCTAGAAGTCAGGTGAAGAGGCAGCTGGAGAGACTGAACAGGAACAAAGCTGCAGGTCCAGATGGTGTCAGCCCCAGAGTACTGAAGGCCTGTGCAGAGCATCTCTGTGGGATTCTGCAGCACCTCTTCAACCTCAGCCTGGCCCACGACTAGGTTCCAGTCCTGTGAAAGACATCCTGCCTTGTTCCAGTTCCAAAGAAAACTCGCCCATCAGTCAATGACAACTACAGACCGGTTGCCCTGACATTCCACATCGTGGAGGTCCTGGAGAGACTCCTGTTGGTCCACCTGAATAAGCAAACTAGGACATATCAGGACCCGCTGCAGTTTGCTTATCACCATGGAGTTGGAGTCGAAGATGCCATCATCCAGCTGCTTCACCCAACCCACTGTCATCTGGACAAAGCAGGCAGCACTGTGAGAGTCATGTTCTTTAATTTCTCCAGTGCATTTAACACAATTCAGCGTGATGTACTTTGCCAGAAACTCCAGAAGACACAGGTGGGGGCCTCAACTGTCACCTGGATTAAAGACTTCCTGACAAACAGACCACAGTTTGTGAGGCTGAAGAACTGCACATCAAACCAGGCGATCAGTAACATTGGAGCACCACAGGGGACTGTACTCTCACCATTCCTCTTCACCCTGTACACCTCAGACTTCCAGTACAAATCAGAGACCTATCATCTACAGAAATACTCAGATGACTCTGCAGTTGTTGGGTGTATCTGAGATGGACAGGAAGCTGAGTACAGAGAGCTGGTGGAGCGCTTTGTGGCATGGTGTGGAAACAATCATCTGACCTTGAACGTGAACAAAACAAAGTAGATGATTTTAGACTTCAGAAGAAACAGGGTGGAGTCGAACACTGTTTCCATCATGGGAGAAGAAGTGGAGGTGGTTGAGGAATACAAATACCTTGGAGTTCACCTGGACAACAGACTGAACTGGAAAAAGAACAGCGAAGCCGTTTACAAGAAGGGACTTGGCAGACTGCACTGAGTCCTTCAATGTCTGTAGCAAGATGCTGCACATCTTCTACAAGTCTGTTGTTGAGAGTGTAATCTCTTCAGTCATCGTATGTTGGGGTAGTAGCATCAGAAGCAGGGACCTGAAAAGGTTCACCAGCCTAATAAAAAAGGCTGGTTCTGTTCTGGGGACGACTGTGGAACTGCTGGAGGAGATAATGCAAAGAAGGATTCTCCAGAGAATCAAGAAAATGATGGACAACCCTGAGCATTCTCTTCACAAGACTGTCCGACAACGGAAGAGTGTCTTCAGTCAGAGGC